AGCATCCTCTTCGCAGCTGGCACTTGATGAATGCTTCCTACGTACGAACTCATTTCGTTCTCAAAACAATCTTGTGAAGGAGGTACTATTATTGTTCCCACTTTATAGATGGGAAAACTGAGGCCCAGAGAGGTTAAGAAACTTGCCTCGGGTCACACAGCCAGTAGGTGGCAAAGCAGTGTGCACATGCAAGCCATCTGGCCCCAGAGTCCAAGTTCTTTCTTTTGTTGTTGTCGTGTTGCTGTTGTTGTTTTGAGACAGTCTCTGTTGCCCAGGCTGGAGTGCAGGGCCACGATATCGACTCACTGCAACCTCCACCTCCTGGGTTCAAGTGATTCTCCTGCCTCAGCCTCCTGAGTAGCTGGGATTACAGGCACACGCCATCATGCCCAGCTAATTTTTGTATTTGTAGTAGAGATGGAGTTTCACACCATGTTGGCCAGGCTGGTCTTGAACTCCTGATCTCAAGTGATCCTCCTGCCTTGGCCTCCCAAAGTGCTGGGATTACAAGCATGAGCCACCGTGCCCAGCTGAGTCCATATTCTTTAGCTAGCTTATTTAATATTCCCCCAAAGCCTCGCAGCAGGTGTAACATCTGCACCCTTTTATAGGCGAGGATGCTGGGCCTCAGGGTACTGAGCCACTTTACGGCTGGTTCCTTCCCTGCCTTACCTGCTTCTATCATGCCTTCTTCAAGTTGCAAATTCACCTCTGTGACATATGGCAATAACAGCACCCCCTGATCAAGTGCCTGCTCTGTGCCTGGATGGGGCTAAGCCTTTGCAGATCTCCTCTCTAATCCTTACCACAGACTAGAGGCAGGGCCCATGCCCCACTCCACAGCCCCTAAGCAGTAACCCAGAGGTTCTACCCAGGCCTGTCTGGATTCAAAGTCCATGTTCTTTCTGCCACCTGGCCAGGCACTAACTGCTCTATCTGGCCACCTCTCAGCGAAGGAGAAAGAGGCAGAGATCAGCCAGACACGGTGAGCAGATCATGAGGTCAGGAGTTCGAGACCAGCCTTACCAACATGATGAAATCCCATCTCTACTAAAAATACAAAAATTAGCTGGGCATGGTGGTGTGTGCCTGTAATCTCAGCAACTTGGGAGGCTGAAGCAGGAGAATTGCTTGAATCTGGGAGGCGAAGGTTGCAGTGAGCCGAGATCACACCACTGCACTCCAGCCTGGGCCACAGAGCAAGACTTCATCTTGGAAAAAAAAAAAAAAAAGAAAGAAAAAAAAAAGAGGCAGAGATGAGCCTTGACCTGAGCCGCAAGGCAAGGAACAGACTGCATCCTCACTGCTGGCGGTCACTAGGATTTAAACGAGGAACATCTTCTGACAGGGCCTGCTGAGCCGGATGTAGGTAAAAAGAAAGCCACTTTGACACTGACTTGTTTAGGACACAGAAACTGGCTTCAGAGACGCCTCACCCAGAGATCTTGTCCTTAAAAGTAAGAATAGATTCAAGGAAGGGCAAGTGGGCTGCTGAGAGGGGGATTCACTTTGGTCAAGTGTCACAGCGGGGGACCAGGCTCAGGCATCTGACTGCCCTCGCTGCAGCTCCTGTAAATCTCAGCAAAACGAGGCACCCGTGTGAACTCATTACCCTTCCCCGCACGCAGCCCTGCCAGCCCTGCAGGCGAGGGACGAGGCTGCAGCAGCCCGTGTCCAAGCCGAGCACCAGGAGGCGGGGTGCCACTCAGAGTCTCCTTGTACAACCTACTTGGCCAGCACAGCAGGATGGGCACACCAGCATCCCATGTCTGCAGGGCTCAGCCTACAGGGAGGACATTAAATGTCCAGGAATGGTGCAACCCAGCAACCCCCATGCATCCAGAAAAGAAGTGGTGGTGTGACAAGCTGCTTCATTCAGGCCAGTTCATCTCCTAGCTTGGGAAGAGTGTAGCTTCAAAGCCCCTCATGGGCTCACCCCAACTAGAACCCCTCTCAGGCTCTGAGAATGCCCCGCAGCCCTCATCCTTTGGGTGTGTTCCCATTAGCCTCAGTATCCTGAGATCCATTTGTGGTGACAGTAATCTGAGCTACCACCTATTAACAGGTTCTATTTGTCAGGCAAGCCCTAGGCTGGGATTTGAGTTTATCATTAGCTCCAATTTACAGAAAAACTCAGCCTCAGAGTGAAATGACTTGTCCAAGGTCACACAACCAGGAAGCAGTAAAGTCTGAATTTAAACCAGGTCTGCTGGCAGTTCCAGCCCAAAAGGACTGTCCATGTCAGCACTTTTGGTCACCTCCACTTGTCCCTCTCTCTGAGAACACCTAAACAGACCCCCAAGAGGCTCCAGGAAGGGTTGCCAGAGCATGTCTCGGCAGAGCTGGTAGGACTTTCGCTGTACCATTTATCCCTGTATCCCTAGCAGTCAGCAGCAGGCGCTGGCACCTAACAAGCCATATATAGAGTGAAGGAATCAATCAAGACCAGCTCTCCCCACCCAGCGCCGGGTCCCCACCTAAGCATCTCCCTTTCCCAGGTGCCAGCCATCCACTGCGGCTTGTCTGCTGGCTGCAGAGGGAAGGCTCTGCCTTAATGCCAGGAATGCTACAGGTACTGGGTGACAGGGCTCCCTGGGGCCTGCCAAGGCTGCTCCTGAGATAGACAACCCAAGGGAGCTCAGCGCCTGCCATGAGCTCACTGGGACAACTGCCAACCTCATTTATTACAACGGAAATCATAAATCACTCATGTAGACATGGCCCTTTGCTTGTTCACACATTCATTTATATCCTTCTAGCAGTCCCAGTATGAATGATGAACGAACAGGTGCCCAGAGAGGTTAAGTGCCTTGGACTTGGCCACACAGCTCAGGACAGAGTGAGGACTTGCACCCAGGTCATCTGATTCTAACTCCAGGTTCTTTCCACCATTCCAGATGGCTCAAGCATGTGCCTCCAAGCTCGGTGACTGGAAAGGGGCCAGGGGGTTGAGATTTAAATCCCAGGCCCTGAGGAATTTTACAAAATGGAATCCCTCCCGGAAGTGTTTCCCGTGACGGTCTGAGCAATAGCTGAGCCCATGCAGTGTGCAGTTTCAGAAATCAACAGCCCCTCCCACCCCACCACCAATGCCCTGAATATCTGCAAACTGTGTTTAGAGAGAAGGAGGAAGCTTTCTTGATAACGTCCTTCCGTGTTTACACTAATAGCAAAAGCTCCAACAACTTTGATGTGATCTGCACCAACAATCTTTCCCCAGGTGATGTAGAATATTTGGGGAAACTCTGTGTTCTAGGCAGGTAAGACAGCCAGGTTCCTAATGGGAATCAACATATCTCTTTAACTCATATTTTATTTGAAGTTAAAAGAAATATCTCTCTTCCTCCCATTTGACTCAGAAATTCATCTCTAAAAATCTATCCTGAGACAAAATTTTATGCACAAAGATAACTCATACATTATTTTTAATAGCAAAAAAATTGGAAACAATCTTTGTCTAACATTAGCGGGATGGTTAAATGAATTATGGTATATCAATACAATCACAGAAACCATTAAAACATTCTTTATGAAAACATTTAGATGACTTCGAGAAACACGATGTAACATGAAGCCAAAAAGAAAACAGAGCAGAGAAGACATAAAATGGTATATAAAAGGGAAAAAAAAGCAGAAAGAAGATTGAGAGGATATAGGCAAAGATGTCAATGGAGGCTGCATCTACATAGCAGAACAGACTTTTTTTTCCTGATTTGCACTTTTTTTGACACTTTTCTTTTCCCCCATATACTCCTAAAATAATGAGAAAAATAAAGGCATAAAGCTATCCCAATCCACGCCCCACTTCCCTTAAGAGGAGTGAAATGTCTGAACAACCAGACAGGTGACGGTCTGATGGTGAAGAGGAAGAGGGCAGATTCCTGCCACTTTTTCCATAACATGGACTTTTGATAGGGCCGCACACAATGTGGGTGCTGGGGGGATATCCCTTGCAAATTTGCCTTTAAGATTTTCCTGGGAATTTCCATCTCAGACTCAGTTATTTGCTTCCTGACTTCAGGAGCCTGTATCCATAAGGGGTGAAGAATCTAGGTTCGGGACTGCCCCTCTCCAGCCCACACCACTCCTGTTCCTCAGGGGAGATGGAGGCCAGGCTGCAGACCAGGGGGCTGGCAACCTGCATGGGTGTTCCTGTTGGAATCGGAGGCCATGCCCACAAGAAAGCACCTGGCAGTCCCTCTGAGCCACAGAGCGAGGCTCTCGAGGCTCCGGGTTAGGAGAATCCCGTAGCTGGGTGAGGACAAAGACACCAGCAAGTGGAGCTGCAGATAAAACACAGCAAACTGCCAGGAGCAGCAGGACCCACGCCACTGCTCCTGACGGGTGGCTGCTCCACTGTCCACCGAGTAGCTTGTGAGAGACACACCCCCATGACTCTATACCCTTTTGTTTTTGTTGCTATTGTCGTTTTGAGATGGCGTCTCAATATGTGGCCCAGGCTGGACTTGAACTCCTGGGCTCAAGGGATCCTCCCATCTCAACCTCCCAAGTGACTGGGACTACAGGAGCAAGCCACCATGCCCGGCCCCCAATGACTCTAAAAAGCATGTACTCAGCCCCATCAGATAATGTGTCCAGCAATCTATGAAAACATCCAAGACCATTTCACAGCCACACTCCAGAGGAGTAGATTTAAACCTGGTCCTCTGTGTCCTTTAGGTCTCCAAACCTCCATGGAAACAAATCTCCATCCCTCACTATCCCTACTCCCATTTCCAAGTTTCTTCACTCTAAAAAATAAATGACAATTTTATACAAAGCAGTCTGTAAGGCTAGAGAGAAGCATATGGGATTCCCCCTAAATCTAGGAGGACTCAGAAGCCTGCAAGGTCCAGAAGAAACAGACTTGTAAGGCCCCAGATCTGGAGAACTGTGGAGCCCCCACAACTGAGGAGGTGAAAAGCCAAAAGTAAAATTCCACTCAGCCACCAAGGGGACAGTGGGTCCCTCCGATAGCAAAGCGTTTTGAATCGACTCACCAAACATGTTACCCTCGTAGCCATCTTTTGTTAGTGGACGGAGTTCATTTTTCCCCATTGCATAACGCTTATAGCTCTGCCAGGCAAACTGCATCATCTGCAAGAAAAAGCAGCATAGAGAGAAATCTCAGTGTGACGATTCCTGGCAGGGTGTACTGGCCGCCTGGCTTTGCCCTTTGCAACAGGATGTTAAACTACATCTAAAAAGACATCTTGCAAATTTTCCAAATTGAAGAAGGTGACTTCCTCTCAACATGATTTTATTTGTACAGTTATAGCTGCCGAGAAGGTCATTCTTCTTAGAAAATGCCACATGTCTAGGGCCTACCCACAGATTTCTTAGAGAAGACAGAAAAAGCACTAAATTCTAGACATCCTTCAGTGCCAAAGTGAAAAGCTACCTCTTCCAGGAAGCCTTCTCTGTTTTGTTCTGGCTTAAAGTAATCCTCTGAAGGAAAGGAAAATGAGTGCTTGCTATAATCTAATAGAACAATCCCCCTGAGCTAGGTATTGTTACCCCACTTTATAGCTAAGGAGACAGGTCGTAGACATGAGGTAACTTGCCCAAGCTCACTCAGTGAGTCAGTGAGAATGTTGGGAAGTGAGCCATACCCTCTGGCTCCAAAGTCCTAGGTCTGTTCCCAAAGCCTTGGTTTTGTCCCCTAAAATCACCATACAAGTCCTTTGAACTCCCAGCCTCCCATGCACTGCAGCTCACTCCTGTTACTTCTTGTTCCTCTGGCTCTGGACCATAAACTTGAAGCTACAAACAACACTTGCCTTGTCTCAGTTCTCCCACAGCAACCAGCACAGGGCCTGGCACAGGTAGGCATCAATGGACACCTGTGGACTGTCACCCATGTATGCATGAATTCTTACTAGGGGAGGCAGCTATTTCAGCCCTTGGGAGCATCACACCAGCACCTTGCTCCCCAGCTTCCCCAAGACCTCCAGGCTGAAGCAGATGCAAGGTGACAGTCCATCCTCAACCCTGCGCTGTGGCCCCCAAGGTCTCCCTCACTTGCCTTTATGGTGTGCCACTTTTTCCCTTGGCATGGCAGGCTGCAGAGGGAGCACAGCCCAGCTGAGTTCTGGGGTGACCCGTGTAGCAGAGGAGCAGCCAGGGGCCCGCAGCGGCAGTAGAACTGAGGCGCAGGTGGATGTGGAGGCAGCCTGGTGTGCTAGGAAGTACTCAGGCTCCCAGGCCAGATATGCCTGGGTTCTAATCATACCTCTGGCGCTATCTCTGTGACTGGCATGAAGTCAGTTGTATCAGCTAAGATCTGCTTTAGCAAGAGACAAGGCCTGCTTTGCCACCACCCTGATGGGTTTAAATGAAACAATGTAGTGGGAATGCCCAGTTTCTGACCAGACACAGCAAGTGATTGACAAACACTAGTTCTATTTCCTCCTTGACCTTTAAAATACTGGTTCTCTAAGTCTCATCTATCTACCCCTCCTTCCATCCAGTCTCTTAGCTCTCAAATGTTAGCTTGCAACAGAATCACCGGGGGGCTTGTTAAAACAGATTGTTCGGTCAGGCTCGGTGGCTCACGCCTGTAATCCCAGCACTTTGGGAGGCCAAGAGGCAGTCAGATCATGAGGTTAGGATATCGAGACCATCCTGGCCATGGTGAAACCCTGTCTCTACTAAAATATAAAAAAATTAGCCGGGTGTGGTGGCGTACACCTGTAGTCCCAGCTACTCAGGAGGCTGAGGCAGGGGAACCGCTTGAATCTGGGAGATGGAGGTTGCAGTGAGCCAAGATCGTGCCACTACACTCCAGCCTGGCGAAAGAGCAAGACTCCGTCTCAAAAAAACAAACAAACAACAACAACAACAACAAAAAACAGATTGTTGGGCCCCACCCTGAGTTTCTGATTCAGCAGGTGGGGTGGGGTCCAACAATCTGCCTTTCTGTCAAGTTCCCGTGTGCTGCTGCTGGTCCAGGGGCCACATCTGAGAAGCACCAATCTGTTCTATTGTTTGTATCGCTCACCTCGCTTCCAGATCTGTCCTGCATCCATTTGCTTTCCCAGCCTGTATTTCCCATCGCCACACCCCTTTCTAGGATATCACCACCTGCATTCTCCATGCTCAGCCACTCCAGGTGCCTGCACTTAGAAGACATCTCTTCCTGGCCCACCGAGACAGTAAGCAGCTGCTCTCACTGCTGCAGCCCAAACACACAGACCAGGAGGGCAGACAGATCGGACAGGTGCATGGCCTGGACTCTCTGGGAAATGGCAGAACAATCTCCACCAATGCCCCATTTCACAGATGATGAAACTGAGGCCCAGAGATGAGAAGTGGTCAGGGTAGCACAGCAGCCAGGCTGGAACCCAGCTCATTCAACTCCCAGGGCAGCAAACACCCACCCCCACGCTTGGTCGAACATGTGGCTTCCCATGTGATGCACATTCAAACGTCATGGTAACACAGCGAAGCGCTTGGCACGGGCTTTGAGTCCTGGTTCCATTCCTCTGTTATTTTCTACTTATCTTGAATTGGCAATAACAACAAATAATTGCCAGGCATGAGTGCTTGAGAGAGAATGGCCTCCTCCCTTAGTCTCTCTTATCTGAGGGCTCTATTAAGTCAGTGTGAAGGGAGAGAGGGCAGGTGGCTGGGGGGTAGTTTGGGTAGAACAGCAGGCTGTTAAAAAGCATAAATGACAGCAGAAAAGGAGGAGGAGAGTTCCGAGGGGAGCCGCACCCTACTCTGAAAGTTCCCCCTACCTAGAGACAGAGAAGTGGGTGTTTAGGAGTAATTACTAGAATCCCAGGTATCTACGTGGTCTCAAAGAAGCTGTCACTGCAAGAATATGAGGTTTGGAATGTGGCCCGTTTTCACAGTCATCCACACCAAGGGAGGGCATGAAGGCACAAAACATCCCAGCATCACTGGGGACTGGATTCACACGGCAATCAGAGCTGCCTCTTCATGCTTTCATTCCTTAAATGCACGCATGCCTCCCAACTCAGGCCACGGGTGGCCCAGTGTAGATGCTGGGTGAGCAGGGGACAGGGGACGGACTGGACAGCCTCCTAGCCAGGTGGTCCTTCTCTCTTCCTAACACACCCTAAGCAAGCACCTACCAGGTGTCCTGTCCTGTATCTGGGCAGTAGCCATGGTGGGAATGCATTCCCAGCCCCTATCCCTTGGCACCCTGGCAACTGCCCATCTTCCTTCAGGTCCCAGCTGAAAGGGCACTTCTGCAGCCCAAAGTCAGACACCATCCCACATTCCTGATGCAGACCCACGGTGGCCTGCAGTCAAGCTTTCACACCTGCAACTATTTGGTCAGAACCCCCTCCCCCTGCACTGCTACATGCCCCATAATGCATCCAGGAACTGGCATACAGAAGGTGCTCGTTAAGTATTTGCTGAATTGGCTCTGGAGCTTAGCACACGGTTGGAAGACTCAACATGGACCACATGGTTCACAGGCAAGACATGTAACAGGTAAACAAGCCAGAGAGGAGGGGCGGCTAGGCAACAGGTGCTCAGAAGGGGGCAAGCGTGTATCTCAAGGGAAGCTTCGTGGACAGGTGAACAAGAGTTCTGATGGACAGGTAGGACTGTGAGGAGCGCAAGAAAGGGTGACCCACAGAAAGGCTGATGTTTTCACTCTGAAACTGGTGACATGTGCCGTGGGCAATACCTGGACTTTAGAGATGGACAGTCCCTGACGTTATGGATGTTCTAAGACCTCAAAAGTCACCCGGGCTTCCTTCTGCCCCAGGGAAGTTCCTTAGTAGTATCTCTTTGAATACTCTCAGTGATGGGCTGCTCTCCACCTTACCAGGCAGCCCATTCGATTGTGGAATTTCACAAAGTTCTTTTTTAATTAATTGAAATGTTTTCCCTCATGAGCCACAGGGGAGACCGTTCTTCCTGCTTCCACACGACAGACCTTCAGCCACGGGGAGTCAGCTCTTGAACTGTGCTTATCTACTGAGCCCTCTGCAACTGCAGACCCACACGACATTGCGTTCTTCCAGGTGCCCCATGCTTCTGTCACTTACTTGTTGTGGCTGGCTATTCTTTTGGAAATGCGCAGAAACAGAAATGCACACTCGCTCTGGTCACCTCTGTGCCAGGTTGCGTAGGTGTGGACTTGCCATTTGTCCCTAGTAACTTCCATCTCCTTGGACTCTGCCTATCATTCCATGCTGTAAAGATCTCTGTGGTTCCAGACCCAACCTTTCCAGAACCAGATCTTATTCAACATGTGTATCTGCCTGCTTTGGGTCATCTGCAGACCTGATGGGACTGCTATCTGCATCTACCCCCAGGTTTTGAACAGAAACATCAAGAGCCAGCTGAGGACTGAGTTGGGGAGACAGCCTCAGGAGTCTCTCTCCTGGACCCAGTTCTGTTCTTTTTTATTTTCTTTTTTCTTTGATGGCATTCATCAGGAAGTAAGAAATCTGCCAAGCGATCAGTACAACCCCTGATTCTCCATTTTTGTACACCAAGATATTGTGCAAGACAGGGCTGAAATATAAAAACACTCTGCCCTAGTACAGAAAAAATAAATTGCTTTTTTTAAAGGAAAATAAGGGGTTAGACTGGCATGACTGTTCTTAGAAAACACATTTTGGCTCCTATGGGTCATCATTTTTTATCCTAAAAGCTTGCAAATCACTAACTTAAAAACCTATTAGTCCCACTAGAACAGCCACACTAAAAAAGACGGATGATGAAAAGCGCTGGCCAGGATATGCTGAAATCAGAACCCTCATACACAGCAGGTCGGGATGAAAATGGCACGGCCACTCTGGAAAAGAGTTTGGCAAAAAAAAAAAAGTTAAATAATGGAGTTACCATATTACCTAGCAATTCTAATTCTAGGTACGTAGCTGGGCAGAGAAGTTCACGCAGCAGGTCTTAGACATCTGTCCACAGAAAGGCCTGTTTGCGAGGCTGGTCCTCAGCTGGTGTCTAGGAACCTATCAGTCTCTAACTGATAAAGGTGGTTTCCTGTGTCTGGACTGCTTGTAGGATGTGGCTTATGCTAAAAGGCTACTTTCCTTCTGGAGTCTGGAATGTTGGTACTTGTTAGGAAGGGGGTGCCTACCCTAGGCACTGAGTCTCTAAAGAGCTTCCCCGGTAGATAACACCTTATACATCTTCACTGGGAGAGAACTCTTGGAAGCCTGCACCTGGTTTCCTCTGGACTGGTCTCCAGCCACTGTTTCCTTTGCTAATTTTGCTCTGTAACTTTATTACATTCACTGTAATAAATCACTGCCATGACGAGGACTATGGGCTGTGAGTCCTGAGTCTTCCTAGTGCATCACTGAACCCAGGGGTGGTGTCTTGGGGACTCCTGACACATACCCCAGAAAGATAATGACATACAGTCACACTAAAACTTGGACACAGAAGTTCACAGCGTCACTATTTTTAATAACCAAAAAGTGGAAACACCCCAAATGTCCATTGATTGACTGGATCAACAGAACGTGGTATACCATGCAATGGAATGTTATTCAGCCGGAAAAAGGAATGAAGCACTGACGCAGGCTACAGCATGGATGAAACTTGAGATACTATGATTAGTGAAAGAAGCCAGATGCAAAAATGCCACCTGGAGTATGATTCCATTTACAGGAAATGTCCAGAATAAGCAAATCTGTCCAAGCAGAGAGTAGTGGCTGCCAGGGACTAGGGGAAGGGGGAAATGGGGAGTGACTGTTCATGGCATGGGGTCTTTTCAGAATAATAAAAATTTTCTACAATTGATTGTGGTGATAATTCACAATTCTGTGAATATATTAAAATGACTGAGGCCGGGCATGGTGGCTCATGCCTGTAATCCCAACACTTTGGGAGGCTGAGGCGGGCAGATCACCTGAGGTCAGGAGTTCGAGACCAGCCTGGCCAACATGGTGAAACTGTCTCTACTAAAAATGCAAAAATTAGCCAGGCATGGTGGCAGCTGCCTGTAATTCTAGCTACTCGGGAGGCTGGGGCAGGAGAATTGCTTGAACCCAGGAGGCAGAGGTTGCAGTGAGTGGAGATCACACCACTGCACTCCAGCCTGGACCAGAGAGCGAAACTCCGTCTCAAAAATAAAATAAAATAAAATGACCAAAATGTGTACCTTAAAGGTTGAATTTTGTGGTATGTGAATTCTCTCTCTTTATATAGATATAGTTATATATATAGAAAGAGATATATCTATATATATATTTTTTTTTTTTTGGAGACAAAGGTCTTGCTGTGTCACCCAGGCCTCTACCCAGAGGTAGACTCTATCTCAAAAGAAAAGAAAAAAAAAATGTCATTCTTTTTGAAAATACACAATGAAGTACTTAAGGATTGATGGCATTACGTTTGCAACTTTCAAATGGTTCAGAACTTTCAAATGGTTCAGAAAACAATATGTATGTACATGTGTATATGTATATCATACATACATGTGTGAATACATATTATACATGCATCGAGTGAATGAGTGAAAAAGAGATTGAAAGCAAACAGTAAAATGTTAACATTCACGGAATCTGGGTAAAGGTAAATGTAAGATCTTTGTTAGGTTTTTGCAACTTTTAAGTCTGAAATTCTTTTTTTTTAAACCCCATTTAGAAATTGTACTGGAGGCTATCATTTTCACCCAAATTTATACATTACAGAATTCCATTTTCCTTCACTTTTTATAAATTACAACAGAATGTGGCCACTGTCAGTCTCCTCGAAGTTCTTCTTAGCCGGCAGTTCCTCAAAGGCCTGGATAGGTCTTCATGTCTGTTTCACCAAGCCTGTTCCCCACACTGGTCAAAGGAGGAAGAAGTCTGGTGAACAAATTAGGAACTAGCTATTTTGGTTTCTCCTTTTATAATTATATTAGCATGCTCAAAGGAGGTACCCATTTTCTTCCTACTCAAAAAAATTAAGAGGCTACTTTGGTGATTCTGAGAATTTTCTTTTTTCTTTTTTCAAGATGGGGTCTTGCTCTGTCACCAGGCTGGAGTACAATGGCACGATCTCAGCTCACTGCAACCTCTACCTCCCGCGTTCAGGCAATTCTTCTGCCTCAGCCTCCCAAGTAGCTAGGACTATAGCCATGTGCCACCACACCCAGCTAATTTTTTGTATTTTTAGTAGAGACGAGGTTTCACCATGTTAGCCAGGATGGTCTCAACCTCCTGACCTTGTGATCCGCCTGCCTCAGCCTCCCAAAGTGCTGGGATTACAAGTATGAGCCACCACACCCGGCCCAGTTGAGAATTTTCTATAAGTCTCAGCTCAATTCAGGCTTCAGCCCTCATACCCTCTTTTCCTACTTTCTCTTGACCTCAGCTCTGTGCCCCTTCTTTCTCTCTTCTGCATAAGTCCTTTCAGGTAATTTTTTTTTTTTTTTCCTGAAAGAGCACACTTTATTGAGAAGCAGACTGCTGCACAGTGACTGACAGACGAAGGCCACCCAATGGGCACTTACACATCGTACTCCAAAAGACACAGGATGTTTTGCTAATAAAAACCAATGGGAACAGGGATTCCGTTATCCCAACCTCATCCCTTTCAGGGATGGAGAAATCTCCCATTTTCCTGATGGCAGCTGTGGTTCACTAGAGATAGAGCCCCTCAGGGGTGCCTTCCTGTTTCTTAAAAAGAACATTTTCTTTAGATTTTTTGAAGTCTTCATTTGTTACTTTCATTCTACGTTCTCTTAAGGCCATCAGACCAGCTTCTGTACAGATTGCCCTGATGTCAGCACTAGAGAGGTCATCTTTAGCCATGATCAAGTCACCCAGGGTTACATCATCGGCTAGCGTCATCCTGCTTATGTGAATCTGAAAGATGCGCTTCTTAGTCTTTTCATCAGGCAGGGGGAACTCGATCTTCCTGTCAATGCGGCCTGGTCTGATAAGTGCTGGATCCAAAGTTTCTATTCGGTTTGTGGCCATGATAACTTTCACATCTCCCCTAGAATCAAATCCATCCAGTTGGTTCAACAGTTCCAACATTGCTCGCTGAATTTCTCTCTCACCACCAGAATTTGAGTCGTATCTTTTTGTCCCAATGGCGTCAATTTCATCAATAAACACGATGGACGGTGCATGTTCTTCAGGAACTCGAAACAGTTCCCGCACGAGTTTGGGCCCATCACCTAGGTACTTCTGAATAAGTTCAGAGCCAACCACTCTCAAGAAAGTGGCTGAGGTTTGGTTTGCTACTGCTTTGGCTAATAAGGTTTTGCCTGTGCCAGGTGGACCATAGAGAATGACCCCCTTAGGAGGTTTTATACCCGTCTCTATATTCATAATATTCAGGGTGGGTGAGAGGAAGCTCCACAGATTCCTTAATTTCCTGAATTAGGTTGTCCAGGCCCCCAATATCGGCATAGGTCTCCTGGGGGGCCTTTTCCACCTCATCAATGTGACCAGGGGATCCGTGTCATCCATCAGCACCCCTATCACGGCATGCACCTTGTGGTTGAGCAGGACTGAGCAGCCAGGTTCCAGCAGATCCTTGTCTACAAATGACAGAATGCTGACGTAGTGTTCTGAGCCCACAGATGTAGACACGATGGCATGATTGTCATCGATGATCTCTTCCAAGGTTCCTACTGACATCGGGGTGCCCCTCAGATCATCCACTTTTGATCTTTCCTCCTCTTGCTTTTCTTCTAATGGTTGCATTTGTTCCTGATTTCTAATGAATTCTTCCTCCATGAGAAGGTAGCCTTTAGTTCTCTCTAATTTCAGTAATTTTAACCGGCACTGAGTGTGAGGTGTCACCAGTGGCAATTTGCTGGTGGCATCTGATCCCTTTGTTTTCTTCTTCTTTTTCCCCACTCTAGTTGGTACAGGAGGTTCATATTTCTTTTTCTTGTCCTTGTCATCCTTCTTGCCACCTCCAGGACCATGACCACCACTCTGACTTTGACCCATCTTGCCTTGGCCACTGGAGCTGCCGCTGCCGGAAGTTCTTCCACCAGGTAATTTTTAAAACAAGGTTCACTTCTCTCTCTCTCATCTCGTCTCTCCCTCTCATCTTGTCTCTCTCTGTCTCTCTACCGTTTAATGTATCAAAGGCACACAAGCTCACTGAAGAAAAGCAGACAAAGAGAAGGAAAACAATTACCCATTCTTTAACTCCAACCACCATTCCCATTTCGGTGTCTTTCTCTCCACCTCTCATACTGTACCTTCATTTCTTCCCATAATTATGACAAAAAAAGTTTCTGATTTTATTACAAAGGCCTTGTAAACATCATTTTTAATAGCTATCTAATAGCCTAGAAAGTAGGTTCAGCAACATTTACTTCACCTCCTTCTCATATAATTAGACATTTTGGTGATTTCTAGTTTGGGGGTATTGTAAATAATGCCATAGTGAACATCTCTGTGCACAAAACATTTTGAATAATTTCCTTGGACCAGAGTTTCTAAGAAACTGCTAAGAAAAAACTTCTAAAGTTATTAATATTTACATGCCGTTTTAAGAAATTACAGCCAGACAGCATGTTTTGCCCACCACTGTGCAAAACTTAGTGAACAGGAAATTGTATCACCATTTTGTGACAATACAGTAAAGTAGTTCACTTGGGGAAATAAAACTAACATAAGGAACAATCACCACTTACATCTGTGTAGCTCTTTGCATATTTTATCTCATTTGATTAGGCCAGTTCAGTGAGTTCAGACAGGATAGGTATTTTTCCTATTTGGAAATAATTACGCAAGGGCTAAATAAAGTAGGTGATGTAAAGTAGTAAGCAGGTATTAAAAATTATGTTTACAAATGTTTCATGATAGGCAAAAATGCTCATTATATATTATTAGGTGGAAAAGCAGAACACAAAATTATATAGTATGAAATCTGCTAGTCTATATATGAGTGTTTAAAAAAAAGACTGAAAGAAAATACACCAAATTGTTAACAGTGGTTATGTCTGAGAGTGAGAAGTTTAGTGATTTCCATTTTTTCTTTTCATTAACCTATATTTTCTGAATTATCTACGATGAATATCTAGAAATGTTTCGTGATGTGAAAAATACAGGTTGTTAAAATGAAAAACAAAAAGAAGAAATTGTATGGTGCTACCCTAAAGTCAAAAGAAAGTGCTTGGATGGTCAGCCATGGGGTAGGTAGGACCAAGTTAGGTTTTGATTTTTAAAAAAAGGGAGGCTTTACAGCAGAGAGTCAGTGAGAAGGTTGCCCAGCAAGAGAAACAACATCAAACAGAAGCTCAGATCCAGAGCTCCAGAGTCAAAGAGAATTTTAAGACCAGACACATCATCTACTCTCAAAGCCACATTTTATATGAGACTCAGAAAGGGGTGTGACTTGCCTAGGCCAGAACAGATACTCGTATCACAGAGATAACCATGTCTCTAAGAGCATGGGCCAGGATGGTGCAGTAGCTGATTAGGGAACATGCCGGAGCTGCAGCAAGAGATATTTAGGGCAGGCACGAGAACACAACGGTCGGAATCAAGCAACGTGAGACCTACACACCAAAAGAAATTGTCTCCCTGTCCCCACTGGGTTCTAGAAACACACAACAGGCAGTCACTGTGTGTGCGTTGTGTGTCCATGCTAGAGACAGAGGGTTGCTCTAGATGGTCTCTGGAAGCCCCACTCCCTTCCTGTAGACTGTGATTTGTAGATTCAAAGAGCACCTAACAATAGACCACAAAGCCTTCCCTCCACCCTAGTCTTGCAAAGGTGGAAAACAAAGCTCCAATGATAAAGAGACACAGGCAGAGCCATTGGAGCTGAATCCTAAGAAATCTCTTCAGTTTTTCCTCAAACAAAAGATGTTCTTGTCTACCTGAACAAATCAAAATGACATAGAATTTTTAAGTGAAAAATATTTACTAGTGTGAGGCAGAACATTATTATTTTAAGATTTTCTTTTTACCTGTCTCAGAGCTCAAGAGTTGCAGAAAAGAGGCTAGAATCGGTTGTATCACTCAGGCACAGATGCCCACTCAGCTGAGGACCCCAGAACAACGGGATCAAGAGAGAAAGGATGCATTTGAGGAGGGGAGGACTTGAGGGTGCCGGCAGACTGCTTCCAGAGTGGAAAAGTCCTAAGTTTGCATTGGACACTTCTTTGGGGCAACAACTTGGAAGGAAGGGTGAGCACTGAATATTGAGACATTCTCTCTCCCACTTTAAAGAAGATGACACACATACATACAGGGCTGGCTCTGGCAGTGTCCCAGAGCCACAGTTGCCACATTCAAAGCTGCCAAGGAGGGAAATGGAATTTCTCAGTCATTAAAGACAAGTGCTCACACCATGACGTACAGCCGTATTGGCGTCTCCCAGCAGCGACACCTGGCCCCCATTTCCAGGGGCCAAGCAGGAAGGGATTTGGTCTCTAATGATCATGTAGATAGAGAAATGAGAACATTGGGTTGATTTTTTTTTTCCTCTCCCACTTTCAGCACAATCCAAGGAAAGAGCTGACTGCTTGGTACCTGTTGGAAATAGATGCTCAGTGCCACAAAGAAAAATCAGCACTGAGACAAAGGATCTTTCAGCAACGCAATTTTTACATCCTGGACTGCAGGAAGGGTACTCTCACTAGCCATCTTGCCACAAGATGAGCAAATGAAAACATACAAATTTATTCCTTATGCATTTGGGGTCATCCTTACTGCTGTGTCTGATCTCCGCTGGCTGGAGCCAGACCTCACAATCTAAACTAAAACCTGATTGACTAAGAAAACTTTTCTAAACAGGTAAAAGCAATGGTGAGCTGGGACATGCCTGTGAGTACATCCAGCAGAGATATCTTGGTTAAAGTGCAAGGATGTGTCCTTGTACTTTAACCAAGTACTACGTGCCTGTAAACGTGGTATGTCAACAGCTACATAGGATAGGGCTTAAAAAGTTATTAGCACATTTATTCTTTAACAAGAAAGGAAACTTTAAAAAAGAACTTTTCTACTTCCCACAGTACCTAAAAACTATCCACGTTAGATTTTCTGATCTACTCCCATTTATTGGTGCAACACAACATGACCTGGTTGGTGATTCCAACGAGGCTCCTGCAAACACACCGCCAGGTCTATGGCTCAGAAGCTGGGCACAGGTGGGGTCTGGTTACGCTGGGAGGTGGGGCGGGGGAGCAGAAGGGGAGATGCTGCCTCCAACCCTCTCAGTTTTGGGTTTACTCGATCGAGCTACCGAAAGGCCAATGTGGGAAATGAACATGTGATCCGACTCCCACCCACCTGAGGTCCAGACAGCTCGCCCACATCCTACCCGTGGGGATTCAGGTTTACGCAGTCTCAGGAATCGCATTCTGTCTGCAGCTGTTTCTAAGGCATCAGGGCCTCAAGTGTGGGCCCTAGAGGCAGAGAGACCCTTGTTGCTCAGAGTGGTCCAGGGACCAGCAGCAGGGCCTGACCAGGGAGCCAGTTAGAAACAGAGTACCTCAGCTCCACCCTCCCACCTGCTGAATCAAAAGCAGCATTTCAACAAGAGCCCCAGGTGAGTCAAAGGCACATTAAAGTTTGAGACGCTGCTCCAGGGCTCTGCCACCTTACTGACTGTGTGGCCTTGAGCAAATGACTTAACCTCTATGAGTCTCAGTTGCTTCATCTGTAAAGGGACAGAAATACTTAATCCTTTTAACAATCCCAAGAGTAAATAACATAGGTAAAGTATTGAGCACAATGGCTGGTATATAGTATGTGCTCAACAAAAAGAAGCCATAGCATGGATGTGGTGAAAAGCAAACACTTTTACATTGCTGGTGGGAATAGAAATTAGTACAACCACTATAGAAAACAGTGTGAAGATTCCTTAAGGAACTAAAAGTAGAACTATCATTTGATCCAGCAATCCCACTACTGGGTATCTATCACTCCCCAAATATAAGTCACATGAAAATAAGTCTACATGAAAAGATACATGCACATGCATGTTTATGGCAGCACAATTTGCAATTGCAAAGATTTATGAAACCAACCCAGGTGCCCAATGGCCAATGAGTGGGTAAAGCAAATGCGGTACCTGTACACCATGGAATACTACTCAGCCATAGAAGGGAACAAAATAATGTCCTCTGCAGCAACTCAGAAGGAGCTGAAGGCCATAATTCTAAGTGAAGTAACTCAGGAATGGAAAACTAAATATTATATATTCTCACTTATAAGTGGAAGCTAAGCTATGAGGATGTAAAGGCAGAAGAATGATATAATGGACTTTGGGGACTCAGAGTTGGGAAAAGACTGCAGGGGTTGAGGGGTAAAAGACTACACACTGGGTACAGTATACACTGCTTAGGTGACGGGTGCACTAAAATCTCAGAAATCACTAAAGAACTTATCCATGTAACCAAGAACTACCTGTACCCCAAAAACTATTGAAATAAAAAATTTAATAAAAAGCAGCCACGGGATATTGTTATCCTATTAACACATCCACTAGAAGAGAAGTATCTCTCCATCCACTTCTGTTTGTACCACCACCACGAGCACCACCCTCATCCAAACCACCTCCATCTCTCCATGGGACTCCTGCGGCTGCCTCCTCACTGGCCTAGAGGGTCCTCCTAGGCTTCCTACACTGCTGCCCACATTGTAGCCAGGGTGGTTATTTGAAGTGCAAATTTATTCATATCTCTCTGCTTCATCCCACACATTTAAATAAACTCCTTCCTGAGGCCCATCAGGCCCCAGGAAGTCACCCACTCACGCCTTCAGTCAGCTTATCCTCCCCATCTCTGCCCCAGCTGCACTAGCTTTCTCTCTGTTCCCCAAAGATCCATGCCTCCCTCTGCCACTGGGCCTTTGCACACGATAGTCCCGCTCCTCCAACCACTCCTCCCTCCTCTTTTTGCCTGGTGAATTCCGCTCATCTTTCAGCTCTCAGGCATGACTGGCACTTCCAAGAAAGTTCTTCCCTTCAGGTTGAATCACCCTATTATGGAGGATTATTTATTTATTTTTTCAGACCAAGTCTCATTCTGTGCAGTGGTGTGATCTCAGCTCACTGCAACCTCCGCCGCCCAGGTTCAAGCGATTCTCCTGCCTCAGCCTTATGCAGGATGATTAAAGTCAAAATTTTACATTAGTTGTGTGACTGATTAATTAGTATCTATTTTCCCCCACAAGAATGCAGGCTCCATGAGGCTCTGTTGGCTCCATTGCTCATGAATGCACCCAGCACCTAGCAGAGTAGCCTGCACATAGACTTTCCATAAAAATGTGTTGAGTGAATGACTAAAGATGGCAACAATGCAGGGGCACCCTCTAGGGCTGCTCATGTCAGAGGGTTAAGGGGGATGCCTGCGACAAAAGCATCCACTGCCCAGAGGCCTTGACTCAATAAAGATTTATCGAAGGCCCAATAAGGGGACAGCTCCAATTGTGAGGCCACAACAGCAGGGGCAGGTGAGACCCTTCCTGGTGAGGGTTTCGTCTTGGTGCAGTGTACAGACAGACAAAGGCAGCTGCATGGAGAAGGCCACCTGACCTGGGAGCCACTGCATTGAGGCAGGTCCCCAACCGCTCTATTACAGATTGATTGGGTGTTAGGTGGGGGCAGGATAGCGTGGGGGGACAAAGAGGAGTGACAGTGGAAAAGATCTTAGGCCACCCACAAGTGAAATGCCAATGGGAAATGGTTCAACAAAACCTGCCCATGTGCAGGTGTCTCTACCATTTCAAAAATGCTTTTTCATTTGAGCCTTACAGTCACCTGTGAGTGAGGCAGAGTAGGGGTTGTCACCCCCATTTTATGGCAAAAGAAACTGCATTCCCACATACAGACATTTATGGGACATACCGTGTCATGCACGCTGCTAAGAGCTTTTGTATGCACGAGCAGTTTTCACCATACCTCTGTGAGATGCTCCTGCAGAGGAGGTAAGGCAGAGCAGTTCAGAGCCTGGCTTTAGATCCTGGCTCTACCCAGCTGTGTGTCCTTGGACAAGATACTTCCTCTCTGTCCCTCAATTTGTTCATCTGTTTAATAATGATACTGTTATACTTATCTAGTGTTTTCCATGCGTCATCAGTATTTTACAAATAAACTCATTTAATCTTCACGCTAATCTTAGAGGATAGAACATTAATCTCATTCTCAGGTGAGGAAACTGAGGTACTTTTCCAAGTATCATAGCAAGTAAGCAGGAGCGCCAGGATATGAACGCAGGTGGTCTGTGCTCACGGCCACAATACTCCACTGCCTCACAGAATGGAGCAGTAACCATGCCCGCCTCCCAGGGTGCTGAAAGCATTAGTTACAATGCCAAGGCCCTCAGCACAGCACCTGGCCCAGAGCACACTCCCGCTAAGTGTTCACAGGTGCTCCGCCTGCCCAGGGATTCCAACTCATCGTCCTCCCAGCATCGGGAGACGGCACCATCATCCTGCTGCTTGCTCATGCCAGAAACCAAGTCCTCTCAAGTCTCCTTCTCTCCGCACCCAAATGCATCCAGCAGGATTTCTGGCGATGACATCTCTGATTCACCTCCTTTCCTCCTCCCCGTCCACCTCTGGCTGTCATCTGATTGTCAGCAATGGTCTCCAGGTGCCCTCTCTCCTCCCCCACCTCCCCCTGCATCACCCCCATCCTTTCTCCAAACAGCTACCAGGGCCACCCTCTGAAAAGGCAAACCATTAACTGTCATTCCTGTGTAAAAGCCTCCAAATCGCCAGCCCCATGGCACTGAGCCTCCAACACCTTACCTGCCTCTCGGATGTTTTCCCACCACGCTTCAGCCGCAGGGCCTTCGCCCATCACCTCAAACGCACGCTGCCCTTCTTGCCTAGGGCAGGAAGAACAATGGCCCTCAAAGGTTCTAATCCTCAGAGCCTGTGAATGTTGGTTTACAGGGTAAGATGGAATTAAGGTTTCAGATGGAATTACAGTTGATAATCAGCTGACTTGGGGAGAGAAGATTAGCCTGATTATCAGGGTGGGCCCAGTATAATCAGAAGGGTGCTTATAAGAAAGAGAGTCAGGAGAGTCAGTGTCAAAGTGATGAGATATGAAAGAGACTCCACCATTGCTGGTTTGAAGGTGGCCAGGAGCCAAGGAATGCAGAGATGCAGGTGGCCTCTCGAAGGGATTCTCCCTGTGATGGTTCATAGTAGATGTCAACCTGACTGGATTAAGGGATACCCAGATAGCTGGGAAAGTATTCCTTCCAGTGTACTGCAAAGGGTATGCCTATGAGGGTGTTTCTGGAAGAGACTGACATTTGAGTCAGTGGATTGAGTTAGGAAGGTCTGCCCTCACCCAGTGTAATAGCACCATCCTATCGGCTGAGGGCCTGCGGCCTGCATGGAAAAGGTAGGGAAAGGCAAATTCTCTCTCTCTCTCTTCTGGAGCTAGCGCACCCTTCCTCTTCTGCCCTTGGGATCAGAACAAGTTCTCTGGCCTTTGGACTGGGGAACTTGCACCAGCTGCCCCTCCGCCCCCAGGTTCTGAGGTTTTCGGCCTTGAGCTGAGAGTTACACTGCTGGCTGCGCTGGTGCCCAGGCCGTTGGGTGTGGGCTGAGCCATGCCACTGGCTTCT